GCGAGACTAAGGATGTTCCTAGTCTGGGCATGTTTTGAGACTAGGGTTTGGATTCTTTCCCCCTCGGCCCCTCATTCCCAAAGGAACTCAATGTTATACTTCCTTCATGGCTGGGTCACATGTTTAATGTATACACACACATAGAAACCAAAGATGGTGTTGCTACTTTCTCCAGCCTCCTCAGATTCTCTTCTCTTGACTTAGAGGATTTGTGAATTATCCCAAGTCATTTGAATTTTTCTCCAGTTCCCACAGCAAAAAACCTGCTTCAAGAAAAAAAAAAAAAAAAAGTAATATGGCCAAAAAATTTAAACCCAAGTTGAAATATGGAACTTAGACCGGGTGCATGATTTAAAAAAACAAGCAAGCAAACAAACCAGGTAAAACAAGTCCTCTGTAACACAGGTTCTGTGGTTACCATTTCTAAGACGGTCCAGAAATAATTTTCTTTACCTTCTCCAAGGAAGAGAGAGAAATAAAAGGGACCATTGTGAGGAGGGTCCTCCTATAGTCTTGTTCCCAAATCACAAAGCATGTTCCAGCCATGCTGTACACTGCTGTTACCCTATACAAAGCAGGGACTTATCCCTGGACATCAGACAGGGTGTGTGGCTGAAGGCTCATGGGAGGGCTGAGCTGCAAGGCTGTGAGCTTCCTGTGCTGGGCCACCCCTCTCCCTCCTTCTAGCTCATGCCCATGCGTGGTCCTTGCTGGGTGGGCAAATCAGCCATGGGGCCAATGCCCAGGCCAATCACCTGGTTTGTCCTCTTTACCTGACTCCATGCTTAAAAAGTCCAAGTTGGGTAAGGCAGGGCTTCCTCTGCTGTGGGCCATGCTGCAGGGTGTCATGGGTATCAGGCTGGGAGCCTCCCACCCACCTGGGAGAAGCTGTCAATGCCATTGGGACACAATGCCATTGGGAGGGAGAGGGTAGAAGCCTAGGTGCCGGTCAGCCCACGCTGGAGGCCACAGCTTTCCTCCCTTCCACCTCTCAGCCCTAACCCACAGTCCCCACAGACTGGAGATGCTAAGGGCTGAGCTGGACAAAGAACATGGCCTCAGTCCGGGTTTGAGGGCTTTCTAGGTGAGAACTCCTGGCCATAGACTGCAGGCTGGCTCCTGACCTTGAGACACCCACACCTCTCCACTCTACACCCAAAACAATTCCTGGAAATTACTCTCCCCCTCGGCTCTTGTTCTCCCTCTCCCCCTCCCCCCACCCCCTTTCTCAGCAGCCTAGTGACAGACCATGTGGCCACAGAATGGAGAGTGAGTCCCTACAATTACTGGCACAGCTGACTCAGGGAAATGGGGTGTCACGAAGGCTAGGAGTTGGAGACTTGCCTCTAGGTGACAGGGATAGAATACAGAGTGTAGCCTGGGCTGGTGCCACTACCAGGCACAATTCTAAGCTCCTCTCCGGAATGCTCCCCACCTGCCCCCAAAGCACATGGCGACAGTCTCCACACACCTTCTCTGCCTGGAAAATAAAAATAAAAATTCTCACTCCAGGAATGCAACCTGGGCTTCTCGCCCACAACCGGCCACTTCTGACTTTGCAATCTTGCCTGTGACACTACCGTCAGTGACGACAGTCCAGACATCTGCTTGGGGTCTGCTGACACACATGAGAACAAGATGGCCCTATCCCAGACTGTCTCTGGCCCTCCTTACCTGGGACGGTTGGGAGGTCTCAAGTCAAATCCTGTCCTCTGTGGGTGGTGGTTCCGAGCCATTCGTCCCTGAGGCCTGACCCTAGATGCCCTTCACTGGGCAACCTCACATCATCCGGAGTACTGACCCCTTTCACACCAAGGGTAGGCCTGCCTCTTCACACACACACACCCCATCACAGTCGACACTCTGGTCCCAGCCACCAAGACCCTCCACGGGTCCCGACATGGGTAACTACCTGTTTTTCCAGACACAAAGTCTCGGCCTGCCCCGGCAGGGAGACCTCATAAGAGAATGATCTCCCAGCTTCCTCTAGGTGTTGATAGCTCCCACCTGGCCCAGGAAGAAGGAATATGTCTGAGCTGAAATCTCCTCCTAGTCTGTGCTCCGGCTGACTCCTGGCGGGGCCAGTCCCGGGAAGCCGATCGGCTCTGCCCTGTCACCTGAGAACGTTCCCGAAGTCAGTGCCGCTAACTCTGCTTCCGTGTTGTGGTTCCTGTCTGCTTGGCATTTGAAAACCGCTTGGGCACTACTGACCGCTGTTACTGAGTGTGGTGGTCAGGAAAAAAAGGGAACCGCATAGGCAAATGTAAGATACTCGCTCTCTGTAAGATAAATCTCTGCCTTTGTTTTTCTGAAAAGGTGTACGCATTCTGTACGTGAAATCGTCTGTAGGGAGTTTCCACGTTCTTAAATGGCAATACATTCCAGCACTCGTACTGTAGATATGTACAGCAACCGCACTGGAAAGGGGTAGTTTCGCCTGTGGTTTTATTTAAACTCCAGTTTCTACACTTGTATCTTGCAGTTGTCGGTATGGTATTCATCAGTGCAAAAGAAAAATTAAACAAAACAAAACAAAACAAAAAAAAAAAACTCAAACCAAAAGAAAAAAAAAAAAAGAAAAAATATCTACACAGGTCTAAAGCACAGAGTCTGTTGTACAAAGGAAAGAATCGCTCAGTATTGGTGTGTGCGACCCTTGTTGTAAACCCCATCTGTACTGTGAATGAGACGTTTTTACAAGTATAATAATTGCCTTTATTACAGCTTGGGCTGAGTGTTCAGCCTGAAGATATTTTTAAAAAAAAAATAGCACGTTGGAATAAATTTGAAAATTCCCAACAGAGCCCTGTTGGCCTGGCTCATGGCTTTTCTTCCTCTTCCCCCCCCCCCAATTTATTTTTATTTATTTGTCTGTGTGAGTGTGTGTTACCTGTAGGGGGCGCCCACAGAAGTCTGAAGAGGGTATCCCCTGAAGCTGGAGTTTCTTTTGAGCTGCCCAATGTGAGTGCTGGGAATTGAACCCTGGTCCTCTGGAAAAGCAGCAACTGAGCCATCTTTGTGGCCTCATCGTATCTTTTCTTGAGGACTACAGAATATCAGGGTTAGGAGAATCCTGGCTGTCCCGAGCATTCATTTTTATTACACAGCAATCAGCCCGTAGAAGCGGAATGACTAAGGTTATAGTCACAGAGCCTAGGACTTGATTCCCCTCACTTCCAGGCCTGTCGATCAAAACCTCAGTACATCACCAAGGGGAAAAGCCAGAATTCATCCCTAGGGTTACCCTACCAATTTTTACCCAGCTTAAGACAACAGGTTGGATCCTCCCCAACAGTTTTAGAATGTGGGAACATGAAATCTTCATCTATGGCTATATAGCCTTTAGCATGCCCATTCTCGTTGGTCTTTGAAGCAAAGTAGAATGGGGCTACTTGGGAGATGTCTGAGTGCTGGGTGTTGCTGACTTGGTCTTTCTGCTCAGAAGAGGCCTCCTCAGCTTCTGCTGGCTGCTGGTAAGTCATGGTGTCCCTGGCTTTTAGACACATCCAATCTCCTGACTTCTCCACAATTCTATGGCCCCCTACTCCTCAACATACTCCTCAGTGGAGTTAGGGCCCCACCTTAATCTAGGATGCTCTCATCTCAAGACCCTTCAGTACAGCAGCTAAGACCCTTGTTCCAAACAAAGGAACTCTCGGAAATTCAGGAACGATGACATATGACCATATTTGACAGCTACTATTGAACCAACTTTAGGATGGAACCTGAATCCAGATCCCGACACAGCCACTGACAGGGTGTGTGAGCTTAGGAAGGTCATCCAACCTCTCTGTGCCTATGTACACATTGTAAAGCCAGAGGCAGTGCTCTAAGTCTGAAGGAAAGGTCATGGCGAAGATTAAATAAGATGCTGCATGCAGGGAGGCTAAGGACACCATCAACACGGCAGGTCCTTGACAGTTTATTCACAGTCTCAAAAAACAATACTGGGATAGCTACGGTGGCAAACGTGGTTTTCCATCTTCTGATTTCAACACTGAGTGTCACTGAAGGCTACCATTGGGTGCAGTGATGAGCAGGAACCAGGGCCCACCTTCAGAGAGCTTCTGTCTGAGCCGGCTATGGGTAGTCGCTTCGCCACAGGCTCACCTTCAGCAGTGGCAGAGAGCAAAGGCTCTAGTCCACAGGCGGTCAGAGTGTCATGAAAGCTCTCCTAGGAAGACCCAATGACAGCAAATAAAGGAAGACAGGCCGGTGAGCCAAGCAAAGGGCCCTAGAGACAAGGTGCTGATTGGAAGTTCAGCGCTAAGGGCCTGAAAGGATGGGTCTGTTTGGACAGAGGACCAACACCAACTCACAGAAAAGAGGGCCCAGCACTGTTCCTGACTGTGGCAGGCCCTTTGCAGACACACTGAGAGCTGGATGGCAGAGGGTCAGGGATGCAGAAGAACCTTGGGGGTGAAGAGGGAACAGGATACTTTGTCATAGACCTGGACCCAGGCGACTGGGAGAGCTGTGGAGAGCAAATGTTAAACATTGTGTCTGGTGGAAGAAGAGAAGCAGGGGTGGATTTGAAAGTCCAAAAAAAAAAAAAAAAAAGTGCTAGAAGTCAGCATGTCTTAGTGACAGGACACAGAGAGTATTCTGTAAGGGATTTTCTCCGTCAGCCAAGTAGAATTACTCGAGGAAGCTGCAGACAAAGCCAAAGAGCCCTGAGACGATGTGAGTGAGCCTTAAGGACATGGAGAGAAAGTCCCCAGGAGAGAAGGAAGGTGTGTTGAAAGACTAGAGGACTGTCACCAGTGTCTGCCTTGCTGGTGGCTTCTCTAATGGCAGTCCGACCGTGGGTACCAGGATTCTCCCGAGAATGGCTTCTGCCAGCCGACAGCAGAGAATGGCAGTGAGTGGAGAAGACAGCACATGGGCTGTAGGGGTGAGGTGAGGTGTGGAAAAAGACTGCTGAGTGTGGAGGGGGGAGGGAGGGCTGTATTCATTCGCTTTCTGCTGCTGTAGTGACCACCACAGTGACCGAAGGCAACTTGAAGAGGAAAGGGTTTATTTCATTTTATAGCTCACAGTCCACCAGGAAGGGATGTCATGGCAGGAAATCTGAGGCAAGAACTGAAGCAGAGGCCACGGGAGAATGCTGCTAATTGCTTTATTTCTCCACAGCTTGCTCAGCCTGCTTCCTTATACCACCTGCCCAAGGGCTACGCTGCCCACAGCAGGCCAGACCCTCCCTCAGCAATGCCTCATGCACTTGCCTACAGGGCAATCTAATGTAGGCATTTCCTTAATGGAGAGTCCCTCTTCCCACATGACTCTAGTTTGTGTCGAGTTGAAAAAAAATAAATAAATAACAGGACAAAAGCCATGGTCACATAATAGTTATGTGAATACAGAAAAGACGGGCTGTGATCTGCCTTTAGCTGCTATTTCAGAGTGAGCCCACAGTGAATGAGCCCTACGGACCACGGCTGCTGAAGAAGCAGAGGCCAGGATGTGAGCGCACTGGGCAGGAGGTACAGGCAGCAAGCGAGGGTCATATCTAATGCTGGCAGAGCTGAGGTGGCAATCGGTTCTGGGAGCCCGGGTACACCAGTCCAGACGGGCTCTGCAGTGCTGCTGAAACACGTGTGCCCGCCACCCTGTGGCTGAAGGCAGCTAGAGCCTCTTCTTTCCCTCACTGACATTCCATGGACATCCGCGGAGAAATTCTCAGCAACTTGGGAGACCAAGACTGAGGGCAGCTCCATCCCTGCGTTCCCATGATCCTCAGAAGCAGAGAAAAACAGAGTGCTGGCGTTGGCAACAAATATCATGTCATAGCCAGTCTTCATTATGTACTTGCCTGAATTTGGAATCACCCGAGAGATTGGTGTGGTACACCCTGGGTGTGTGTCTGAGGTGTTTCCAGAGAAGAGTCACTGAAAGGGGGGAAACCCACCTTAAATAAGAGCACCGTCCCATGGCTCAGACAGAATAAGGGGAGGGGGATGTAGCTGGGTGAGGACTGACATTCCCCTTCACACCGCCTTCTGGTCCATGATGTAAAGTGCTCTGTTCAACCGTGCTGTCCCCGCCCCAGTGGACGGAGCCCACCAACACTGTGAGCCACAGTAACCCTTTCCTCCCTTGACTGATGTCAGGAGTTCCAGCATATGGACACAGAAGTAACTCAGACATATCCCTTCTATTCCCACCACTGGTCAGAGCCGGCCACACGGCCAGCTCTTAAGGAGAGAACGGGGGGTGGGGGAGAAGGGGTTGCTAAGTTTAGGACCTCTCAGAATTGAGCCAGGGGAGCAGAGGTCTATGATGGGATGGGGAGAGAGCAGGGACAGTGGTATCACCCTCAGAGGGAATGAGCTTTTACAGAAAGAGTGGGGGGAAGGGCAGGAGAGCATGGGAAGCAAAGAAGGTACCCCATGCTGAAGTAAGAGTGTGGGAGGATAGGGAATAACTAACAGAGCCCGGGGAAGGGTAGCCTAAGGGGAGGTTAGAAAATGGGCACACAAATAGAGTCAGGGACATGCATCCAAGGCAGCAGGGAAGAGAAGCCCTGCCCAGCTCCAGAAGAGGACGCACGGGGCTCCGTGTCCAGAGTTTTACAAACTCAGTCTGTAGCCATGACCACTACTGGACGTGGTGTGTTCAGCTGCTGTTCCTAGAGAAGGAAACGGTGACAATAAGAAAGCTCACCCAAGTGTGATGACATGTGCCTGCAATCCCAAATCCTCGTGAGGCCTAGGCAGAAAGATCTCAAGTTAGAAGCCAGCCTGGACTATATAGTCGGAGTCTCTTGCTGGGTCTGGGGAAGCCTTTCAGGGAATCCAAGTTCCTCCTTTATCCTCCAGCCCCTGCCTGGCTCCAGGGTAATGCTGGGAGTCAGGCTGCACAGCTGCCATTGCTTGGAGTCCAGTTGCAGCACTTGGCTGTGTGAATTCCGCTGCAGTTGCTGCCATCTCCTGCCTGCCGTTGCCTCAATGCCAAGGCAGACAGGCACTGGCATGCGGCTGGCTCCCAGGTCTTTGCAAGGTCAAGAGCATTTCCCCTTCAAGAAGTGAATGAGGCAGAGTGCATGTTTATTACAAGTGAAGGTAATGCCAAAGACCACACTCTGACGAGTGGGACGGCCACAATCCTGTCACATCAGTTCCCATAGCTCTGGAGAGCAATGGCTGAGTACCACAGACATCTTAGCTAAGGTCTGCTGAGTCTCCATCCAGAGCTGAGCAAAGTCCATAGGACTGGGAGACCTGACCTCATTCCTAAGGCTATACTCATTCTGGGCTCAGGCCATGGGGGCCATAGTCTGTCCTAACATCTTTGGGGGGGCAGGCCTCTTCAGGCTGGATAGCCTTGGGAGGATGGAAGGTGCAGAGGCAAGAGCCTGAAGACGCTGCAGCCTGGGGGCTTCATTGTGCAGAGCTCAGCATGGATGCTGTTCTGAGTCCTGGGGAAAGATCATTCCGTCACACTGTTACCTTTTACAGGGAAGGAAGCCTGGGCTCTGATACATGATCTCCATATTTGATTAGCTACCCTTGGAGAGTCTGGGCCTCTGTAGCTCTGGGGCCTTTGCTAGGGCTGGGGGATCCCAGCTCACATACCCCATACTCTTATCATGACCTCATCCACTTTAGGAAGATAAGAATGCCAATTGCCCACTTCCTGATGGCAAAATGGATGTCCAGAGCCGGGAAGAGCTTGGCCTGAGGCCAGGGCTACGTTTCGTATACTCTGCACGGAGCCACTTGTACCACCCCACGCTACCCCAGTCCCAAGCGCTGCTACCCAGCTCTTCTGCCCAGCTCTGCCTTTTTAGGAAAGGAAAAGAGCAGCCCTGGTGGCAGGCAGGTGGGCAGGCGGGCACGCTAATCCACCAGCTCCTGGCAGCTCTGGTTACCCGTGGTTTGGGGCCCGGGCGGCCCTGGCTGGGAGTGCCGGCTCAGCCAATGGGTGCCGCCGCTGAACTACTCTGGCAGAGCCATACAAGGCCTGGTTGCAGCCCAGTCCCGAGCAGGCACAGGGCAGCTCCGGTGTGCCCGCACCCACCCCACCCCTGAGCCTGCCAGCCCGGCACGTCCTCCGATTCTACCTAATCCAGGCTGGGAGCAGCAGGGCCAGAGTGCACGTGCACCAGGCTTGGGGCTCTCCAAGGTCAGGGGTGAGGCACTATCAGGGCAGAGACCAAAGTCAGGGAAGGCGCTTAACTGGTCATGGGGACACCCCTCAACCCCGGATGAGGTCAGGGTGATATTGGGGACACCAATGGCTCAGGCTGCACCATCTCTCACAAGGGTGTCTGCTACCATCCCTTTGACCTCGCCGCTGTCTCTTCCCCCCAGTCCCTTCCGGACTGGGCCTTAGCAAAGCCTGTGGCCTTCATACCTTGCCGTGTGTTCACAGCCATTCATCCCAGGGCCACAGGTACTTCTCAGAGTCAGGGATGCCCATGAACGGCTCCATGCTGAGAGACAGACATACCCTTCCCTTGCAGACCTGTGTGCATCCATTGTCACTCCTGGGGAACTGAGGGTAGGGAGGAAGCAGGTAAGATTGACAGTCCCTTCTCAGCAGATCCCGCCCACCAACCAGTTCCTAATGCCTCCAATTTGGTGCTTACAGTATCTGTGGGGAGAGGGCTTGAGGAGATGGCTCAGCTGATAGAGTTCCTGCCACATAAGCATGGGCACCCGAGGCTGGATCCCGGGCATCTGTGGAAAAAGCCAGGCACACCGTAGTCTGGTTCCAGCACTGGGAAAACAGAACGATCCCTGGGGCTCTCTAGCTAAAATGGCGGACGCTAAGGTGAACAGGGACTGAGGAAGACATCTGAAGTTGGCCTCTGGTCTACATATGCATGTGTATCTGCACACACATACACATATGTGCACACATACAGAAATATATATACACAGAAACCATGCATATGTGCCCATATGGGCACACACACACACGCGCACACACGTGTGGAAGCTGGAAAGCATGGCATTGGCAATCAGGGAAAGTGAGTCACACACAGCGGGGCTCTTTACCCAAGACCAGAGTATAGCATTTAACCTCGGAGCATGTGCCCTGGACCTCTGTACCCCCAAGCCTTCTCTGAATAAAGGTCCTAGAGGGGAGCAGTCTGGTCCCGTGCACAGGTAAGACTGGAAGCTACTGCAGAGGAGGATCACCTAATTCCTGAGTGGGGTAGGTTCCCTGCACCAACATCCACCTCTGACCATGACAGACAATGAGATTTATCACAGAAGCCACTGGTTAAAGTATCCTTATAAGTCCTAAGCGGGCCAAGCTACGCTCAGGGCCAAAACTGTGGTACCGTGAAAGGCCACTGACAGGTGAGAGAAACGTGCTGGCACAGGGTGGGGTGGCAGGGCTGCCTGGCATCAGGCTCTGTTTGCTCACCCAAGAAAAGAGGAGATAAATATAGACACAGGATTACTCAGACACAGCCTGGGAAAACCGGCTTCTGAGCCTCGGCTTCGGCCCTGTCCCAGCCTCACCCTCAGCTGCCTGCCTACTCTGTGCCAACTGCCAGCCCTGCCCCACCTCCTTCCAGGACTCCCTATCTGGCAACTTGGGGACAGCCCTTCCTATCTGCTCTCCCTGGACATGGAGCAGAAATTACAGCCTAGAGAGAACTGGGTCATGCTAGGCAAGACCCATGCAGAGTTAGGCCACAGGCCCAGGCTCCATTCCAGTACAGACTCAGTTTCCCCTTCTGTGGGGTAGGTTACCAAGGCAACCATCCCTCGGCTTTCTTAATGCCTGCGTGCAGGATGGCACAGGAGTCCACTCAGCCATTAGGGACAAGGCCGGGATACTCAGAATGAGAAGATGCCAGCCCCAGCAATGTCCATGGGGGCTGTGCCCTCGGACCCTGGAGCCAAGTCACAGAGGGTGAGCTCCCCCCCCCCATGCCACTTCTCAGCTGTGGGAGTTCGGGAAACCTCTTTGACCTACCTCAGCCTCAGTTTCCACGTATCTAACATGAGAATAGGCTATTAATAATAATTATCATTATTACATAGTATTACATAATAAATAGCACATGGTAGAATAATAGTAGCTTAATAATCGCTTGAGCTATTAGAGGTTAGATAAGTTAGTACATGCAGAGATGACCTTTCTGCAAGGCCCAGCACAGGCAAACTGTTACATGCAAACTGTTACATGCTTATCTATTTCCCAGCCTGGTCACTGTGTAAGCCTGGCTTCACGGTACATACGCCCTACTGTCTAGGACCTTACAGTTCCCTCCTTTCCCTCCTAACGGCCTCTAGAATCAGGCAGATAGAGATTTGAACCCAAACTCTGCCACTTACAGGCCAGGTGACAGTGGGCAAGGAAAGTGGCCCTTTGAGCCTTCAATAGAAGGTACTTTCTCTCCCTTGCTGTGTTCTGGGACTGGTGTGAGGTTAAAGAGGGAAGGACGTGTAGGCAGGGTCCAGCCCAACTAGGCAAATTACGTTTCCATTTTTGACCTCATCCTGACCTGCTCCTCTTCATTCCTCTAGCTTCCTCCAGTGGCTATGAGCTGAGCCTCAGAGAGGCCTTTGCTCAGAACACAGTCCTCCACGTGCAATGACACTTTGGTGCAGGAGGCGTGCATGCACCCTGGTGCATGAGCATGGATCCCTGTCCACGGGCCAATAGGATGCTACATGGCAGACCCCGGTCCCTGCCACCTCTGAAAAGTGAAGCCGTGCCTGTCCACACCATGCCCATGTGTGCTTCCCCAGCAGTGCGCATACATGGACATACAGGGGCACAGCCATACATGGGCACAGAGGCACAGGTGCCGGCAGGTGTGTCCCCACTCATCTTAGCCAGTGCTCACGGATGTCCTAGCCAGGCCCAGCCCCAAGGTGGCCGTCTTCATGACAGAGGAATGCAGACATCTGGGGATGCTCTGCCAGCGGACGTGAGGGAGAGGCCGAGGGGAAACCACATGGGCAGGAATCCAGGCAGGAGTGCCAGGCCAAGGCGGGGCCCTCGAGTGCTAGGAACTGTGCAGGGGGTGGGGCACGTGCAGATGCTTGCTCCGGTCTCACCTGTCACCCTATGTCCTTAGAGCCTCTGGGGCTTGGAGTTCATAGGGGATCAGAGGCCATCAGCCCCCACCTGCAGCTGGGCCATGCGGCGAGGCCCTGACTCTGTCTCTGGGTTGCGGTGAAAGGGTCTGAGCAGGAGCAGGGTATGTCATCTCCTCACCAGGGAACTGAATGAGCTGTGAGCACAAGGGCCTGCAGGAGGATTGCCATTAACACGACACTGCCTGTCAAGGGTAACGGTGGTGTGGAGGTCACTGGAGCTCTGCTGGTGCAAGCGAGGGCAGCTGGTGCTAAGACTGTTGTGCCTGCAAATCCCCACAGTGCTCACTACAGGGAGCAGCGTGCTCCCCACAAATGGACAGAGGATTTGAGGTGCTCAGAAGCATGGGTCAGTAAAGGTGCACAGGACTCAGAACTGGCTAAGCCTGTGGAGGTCGCTGTGCTGGCGACCTCCGCCTCTGCACTCAGCTCAAATCCTGAGAGGTTGGCAGGTAAGGCCTCAGTGTGGTTGACAGGAGGGAGACACTGTCCTAAAGGCAGGGATCTCAGGCTACAAGGAGGACAGGGGCTTCCTCCGCCTCCTAGGGCATCAGCCTTCCCAGGATATACCCATGTCTAAGACCGTACATGAGGAGACAGACAGACAGATGGACAACCAGGGCTTTGGCTTCGTTGGTTAGTACTCCGTACTGAGGGTTCTTCCGAGAATAGATCGGGGCCACACTGCAGTAGCAAAATAGGAGGAAGGATATGGGGAAGGAGAGAAGGAAACAGTGAACAGGTTGGGCATGGAGCTCAGCTGATAGAGTGCTTGCCTGCCATGCACAAAACCCTGGGTTCAGTTCCTACCACTGCAGTAACCAGGAGTGGTGGCACATGCCTATAGGCCCAGCCAGCACTCAGGAGGCAGAAACAGGAGGCTCAGAAGTTCAAGGTCATCCTTGGCTATACGGCAAGCTTGAGACCAGTGTGAGGCACATGCGACTCTGCCTATTAATTAATGAATCAATTAATGAACTCAATGCATTAAAAAGCAAGACAGCCTGAGTATGCTGGCACAGGCCTTTAATCCTATCACTCAGGAGGCTGAAGCAGGAGGACTGTAAATCTGGGGTAATGAGCCCTCCTCTAAAACTGAACACACACACACACACACACACACACACACACACACCACAACAGGGGCTAGGCACTAAGGTAAAGCAGGTCATCTTTGTTTCCTCCATACAGAACACACAGTCTGAGAGGAACAGAAACCAAAGAATTTCAGAATACAGTGCCAGGATGCTGAACAGCCCCAAGCTGGGCTTCGGGGTTCCCAGCTAGTAAGGACCCCCTGAAGACCTGCTCAGCTACAGAGCCCCTGATGCAGCACTGACAAAGAAAGCCTTCTGCAAAAGCCCTCGGGCTGACTGACGCCCTCGGGGCTCCAGCCAGCCTTAGGGCAGTATGCCCTGGTGTCAGGGAGCATGGGAATGGGAGAAGATAGTAAGGCAGAGTGTATAGGAGAAACATCCCATCCAGAAAGCTTTCCTTATAGCCCAGTGCCACCCTGCCCGTCCCCTGCAACTCCTGTAACCCCCACACTAGGCCATCGGGCTTCTGCCCTCAAGGATGCAGGGATGGTCAAGGCAAAAAAGTCTCTATGTATAAACTGAGGCAAGAGATGACATACTCAGGGCCGCAGGGACTCTCACTCAGGTGCCACTGCTCCATATCAGAACACCCCCTCCCCTCCCCCCCCACCTGCCATGAGAGCCTCAGGATTCCCACTCCATTTGCCAGGGGTGAAACGTGGGCCATACGCATCAGCTTGGGGAGCCCCAGGGTCATTCAAGCCCAAAGAAGAGTCCATATCCAATGGAAAGAAGGAACCCAGATTGCCCTGGGTTGCTAATTGCTGTATCAGAATTAGTATGGCCTAGGCTTCCTGTCTCTGAGCCTCAAGATCCACAGGCCACAACAATGTCTACCACTCAGGGTTGATCTGTCATCAGTGGTATTGCATGTAGAGAGACCCAGATATGACCTAGGACACCAAAGACCTTTCGTGTGGCCATCCGTAGTTCGAAGATTTATCAAGGCCCGGTACCCCTTACCTAGTACAAGACTCTGGGGCAAGGCGAAATAGCCAGGTCACATCATTGGGCCAGGCCCAGGGAAGGCAAAACACCAGCCAAGCTGCAGGCAGGGTTAAGGGAGGCCTCATCCCTGCTTCCTTCTCCCATGCCAACCTCCATGTGAGTATATTCCCATAGGCCCCAAATCACCTCCTCTGGGTCCCTGTCCATCTCACTGTCCCGTGAGGCAATGGAGGTGCAGAGGGAAGCAAGCAGCTTTCTGATGATTCACACAGAGACTTGGGTTGTCTGTACCATTTAGGGACTAGGTACCACAAAGCCTCCCGGGGGCTGGGCCTGAGGGGCCCTCAGAGGCCCCAGCGGCAGCGGCCCTGATCCGGGTGCACGTGGCTGCGGTGGAACCGCGCGGTGATGTCAGGCCCGCCGCGCCCGGGTCTCTGCACGTTCGTCCGCTGGAGAGCCGGGAACAAAGCGTCCTCCGCATTCCAGCGCGCTGACTCACAGCCGTCACGTAGCGCGCCGCCGCGCGGCTTTGCCCAAAATTGGTGGCAAGGCGAGGGCGGGCCG